ACATTCGCTTCGACGTCAAGTCGGTTTCGCACCCCACCTCTTTATCCTAAAAAGAGGGTGGGTCCTAATTCTAAGTTTGCTATTTCTTAAAACTAAGGTGACCAATACCGTGTCATCCCCTTCCAGTGCGCCCAAAGCGCGGTACATCCCTGGAGCGGGGGTGACAGGCTGGTCACTGTCGCCAACGCATGTTTGGCAACATCGGGGAAATTCCGTCAGGTCAAGATCCTTGGGGACACTAATTTCTGAATTTCTAAGGAACCCTCTGGAATACGACTTTATGATACCCGGGCTGAAGCAAAAAACTGAACAATAGCTAAATTTCTAAGTGACCTTATGTGCCGCATACTGGCTGCAGGCCGGCCTGCTGAAACTCATAAAAAGGAAAAAACTAACGGTTACAAATGACTCTACGAATATTTAGCCGTATCATAAAGTTGTCCCCTTGATGTCTTAACAAAAGTAAATAATATAAAACACATTATGAAAGCAAATCATAAGTAATGGAATTATTGAAAATATTTCTTGTCTTTGATAATTACAATTCTTTGTTGTATTTTCCCAAAATGATATTTTGCAAAATTATATAATTTTTCTTTAGTTATATACTTTTTCGATTGAAAATATCTGTTTACTATTTTTTTATTAGTATTGCTTATGAGAGTTTAAAAATGTATTCTTTCACGAAACTAACAAAATTATACTTTGAGCAACGGAGGAATAAGTCACGCTTTTCAAACTTTAATGAAGAAAAAATCAAAGATGTAAAAATTTTAATAGTAAGGTATGAACCAGACATAAATTTTAGAGTACTATATAAACTATTTAAAAGAAAATAATTTTTATCATAACAAATATTATTTAGTAAAATATTAATTTTTTCGTTTCATAAAATGCCATTTTCTAAATGAAATGCAATATTATTGATATATTATTTGAATTATTTTTTTTAAACTATAGTTGATGGTCATGCATGGAACTTCTAGAATTAAACATATAACAGAAAAAAATTTCCACCGTGAAATCAATAATTCCTTAATAAGCTAATTCAAAAAAAACCCTACGCCTACTCAAAACTAAAGAACAACATTCTCCGTGAAAATCATGGTAATTGCGAAGGGAATGGCTCGAACATCCCTCCGGTTTCCTGGCAAATTCGATGTGAACTGGGCTGGCGTTCGTCTAACGAAAGATTGAGCCGTCCTGTGCGATTGAGAAAGACGCGAATAACAGGGAAAAAGGTAGTCGCAAAACGTACATATATGTATATGCGTAGGGTCGAGGATTGAGGGTCGAAGGCAGAGCGTGAAGCCGGAGGATTGGTACGTTTTTAGTGGTTGCAGCACTCGAACGTGCCAGAGTGAATATATCCTGCACAAGTGCACGCACACATGCACCACCGTGTGTGTACACACACACGTAGCCTTTATTCTTGCTATCTCGGTGCACGTGCAAAAGCGTTGGCCGGCTCTTCGAATATTTTCCTTCTAATTTAATTTCACCGACCGGAGTAGTGCAGTGCACGCATTACTTCGCGCGTATATCACACCGGAAAAGGGAACAGATTGAGATCGAGAAGCACGCGTCGCGTACGATATAACGATGCACGATAGTAGTCTTAAAAAGTGAACGATTAGGAGACTCGGGAAGCAATCAACGAAGCTCTATGACTTAAACCTAATCCCAGTTGGCGAACGTAAGTCAAAATCAAGAGATGTGAGAGTTTTTCTCTATAACTGAACACAATGAATTTATTTGAAAAGAAAGATATCGATAAGACCTTATTCTGATCCCCTTAGACTTTATTGCCTTAATAAGTGACGAGAAATATCATAATTTAACAGGATGCATAAAAATAATAATAAGAATAAAAATAAGAAGGATGAGAATGAGAATAATATTAAAATAATATTAAAATACTACTAACTGATGTAATATACTATTATTTGATACGCTTTATTCGCGATTCAAGTCTTGGAAAATATATATTCTTGTTCTGTGATCTTTCCCCTTTGAATTATGTTTTCTTATTACGTTGACATTTTAAATTTACATTTCCTCGGTTTCCCGAGTAAAATGTCAATGTCACGACAGCAAAACTTATGACTTTAAGTGTCCACGCGAAAACGTACACCAAATGTTTCATTTTATTTTCTTCTTCCTTTTTGTCTCCTCTTTCATTGAACCGTAACGAAACGTCGTAACATTTAGAATCCAACTAACAGCACTCGAGTTTCAGAGGAGCTCACTGGGTCTGAACGTTTACCGGATGTGCGATTTCACACCGCCACATCCAACATTCACAGTCAACCGCGTATTTTACGCGGACTCCTGAAGGATCAATTTATTTTGGTTAATGAGAGGACGCGTCTTTGACGGGTTTAATTTGTCTGGGGCTCCTTCTAGTTTACGAATGTTGAATTTATTAAGATTTTGAAAGCACAATCTGACAAATTGTATGTGCAGAAAAATTGATAGATTTTACGAAGTATAGACTTACTTTTTAAAAATGTTTAAAATTTATAGATATGGAAACGTGTGGAAAGGAAAATTGAAAAATTTCAACTGAAACGTCCTTATCTGGCTTCCTGGTATCAGTATTCACCGGACGTTATTCTGAGTGGATTTATTTCATTCTATATGAAATTATGTTAAAGCTAAAAAATTAAACGACCAACGGATTCTACGATTCCGAGTCTATATTTTTATTTAAAAATGACGCAGTAATAGCTGACATAAATGGATGGCAACTATTTTAAAGATTTTTAATATAACGAAGAAAATACGTGTTTTTCAAAATACCAAAGTTATTATTTTCACGTTTTGACATCATTAAATTTCAACAATTTTTTAATTTACAAACTTCTAAATCACAAATTTAAAAATTTATAAATACGTACTTCCGCAAATTTTGAAAATTTCAACAATTAAAAGTTTTCTAATTGTCAAAGCCATTAATTTTATTAATTTATTCTCCATGTTTTAAATATTTTAATTTCCAGGTTTGAAACGTAAGAGTTTACTGATTTTTTAAAAAGTAAAATTAAATTTTTGAAATTGAGATTAAATTTAAAAAATTAAAATTTTATTTTTTACATTAAAAATTTTCAGATTCATCAATTCACAAATTTTTCATATTTTCAAATTATCGAGGTTCAATAATCCAGTTCAATAATAATCCACTTGTAAATAAACTATTAATTCTCGGATGTTGAAATTACACTATCTTCAGAACAGTACTTTCTATTATAAACAACAACAAATACACAGATTGTTTAAATAAATATTTATTTATAACATTATAATAGTAACAAATAATATCAATATTGATTTAAGATAAATAGGTATCAAAGAAGCCGAATTCGAGATAAAAAGAGACATAACAATATGATACACAACACACAACTATAGACACTGATGGATCAACTTTAGCAAAATTAAATTGAACCCTATTATGATATTTAATTAAAATATTGTCATATACTTTAGAACATACGATTAAATTATTAATCACAATTTCCTTCTGTTACAGTGTTATCTACAAGTAGCTCTGCAGAACCGTCGCCAGACTCGAACTCAACGAAAATTGTAATAGAAGAAGAAGACGAATCGTTCCCAGAAATAACATTAGCCGAGTTCAAAGAAAGATACAGGAGGTTAATACCATACATGACCTATTACGTAGCCAATAATTACGTCAACGCACAAAGCGCGGTACAACCACAAAACCCCTCATTGAAAGATTTTCAAACAAATCACTTAGTCAGAAACAACCAACCATATGCTAGAGTAAATAATCTACCTAAGGAAAGTAACAATTACCGCGTGAACGTACAAAATCAGGAAAAAAAGTTCGTTCCTTCCGTGCAATTTGATCCTCGCAATGTGGGTGGTGACACAGACTACTTCGCCCCCGTCAAATACACCTCGAAGTTTGCTTACGAGGATTATTCCCTGCCCTATCAGTTGTATCGAGATCAGAAGGCATCCTATCCTGAAATAACAACGGCATCCAGTCAGATCACACAAAAGGAGAACAGGTACTACGCAAACGTGAGACCATTACGACCTTACACGACAAATGGCAGAGATAACTTGCCTAGGAAACAACTAGCTAAACCTATACTCGCTAACGTTCAAGACGAGTACGTGCTGGATTACAACATAAGACCAACTGGTAATCCTGCCATTCATTATCCTGTTAAAGACATTCAAGGACATCGATATCCACCCCCGTATTCTGACGTACAAGTATTAGATTCTGTACCAGAGAAACAACCCCCGATACTGCCTCCATCACATCGGAATCCGAACGTGAATCTGCAGCAAATAATCGACAGCTTTTTGCTAAGCGAAAGATTGCCAGAAATGTTAAATAAGGATAACCTAGATAACAGTCTGAAGACTCTGGTGGAGATATTGAACATTCTCCACAACACAAGGAAAGACGAATTGCCGAAAATCCAGGCACTTCCCCCAAGATTGCCACAAAAGGTTCGAAATTACAAGGTACGACCACAAACAAGGCCAAAAGTGATAACCGAAAGTCGGTTTCAAGCAACACCGAATCCTCTGTACTTAACCGATGACCCTGAACGCTATAAAGTCACCAAAACATCGTACGACGAGGAACCGAAACCTAAACCGTCTCAATCAAATTACAACACGAATGGTCTAATTAGCAACAAGGTAGTGGAATATTACATTCCTGTGGTGCAGGAGATCCCAACAAAGAACAAAGACATATTTCTACCGACCAATAGTCCACAGATTGAAGGAGATCAAGTTGATCATTCTTATGAAATTACGGAGGACCTTAACGACGACATTATGCAACAAGAAAGGTTTACTGTTCCATCGGTAACCACTGAAAGCCCAGTTTACAGTTACACGGAACCTAACGAAATTTCGACATCGCATAAAACTGAACCTCAGGTCAAATATGGTGCTACAAGAGGCAAAGCTAATGTTGATTATCCAGCATATGCCAGTATACCGGCTACAAGTTTCAGCTGCAAACAACAACGATACAAGGGGTTCTTTGGTGACCCAGAAACTGGCTGTCAGGTAAGGTTTTTTGATTACTGAAGAAAGGGGTACAAGTTTCACACGGTTTCAAGATATCGATTTTCTGTCCTTCATTCTATTCAAATCTCAAGTGTTTTACGGACGCACGTGAAAGAGCGAAAAATTAGTGGAATTGCTAATGAAAAGGAATCTTTCTTTGCGAAACCTGAAAGTCTGTAAATTTAAACATTAATATATTTCCAAATTTCTAAATTAAAAATCTTTAGAAACTTGAAAATTAAAAAATTTGAAAGTCTTTCTGTTTATAAATTTAAAAATGTCTACACTTCTGAATTTGAAAATTTTTGATTTTGAAACATTTTAATTTGAAGCTACAAAATTTGTCAATTTTTAAATTTTCTATCAAGACTTTATTGCCGTGGACAACTCCTAAAATAAATAGGATTTTTGAGACCGTTTAAGAAATAAAAATTTAACCCTTTTTGACAAAAGTTTTATGATTCTATTTTGATAATTTGATAATATGATTACAGGTGTGGCACTACTGTGACCTTAACGGTGGTAAATCGTCATTCCTATGTCCAAATGGTACCATATTCAGTCAAGTAGCGTTAACCTGCGATTGGTGGTTCAATGTTAAATGCGAAACAACGACTCAATTATATGTGTTGAACGAACGGTTGTACAAATATATTCTACCAGTAATGCCAAAGTTCCCAGAAGATTTTACTGGACCGGAAGTCGATCGTTACTTGGAGCTCAAATTCAAAGAGATGGAAGCAAAATTGAAGGAGAAGAAATTGAAGAAGCAACAGGAAGACAAGGAAAAGCTCAAAGACAAACCACAACCGGCAAAAGAAAATGAATAATTGCTCTATCTAGGATGTAATTAAGTTACTGTATACTTGTTGCCATTATTTGTTATAAATAGCAACAAATTTATTATATGTTGCGCTGGCTGTATCAGTGTATGTAGAGAAAATTTTATGAAACTCGAAAAATGTGCAATATTTTTATATTATAGTTTTGAATGTGATTTTTATATTTAGTTTGCTATAAGTAAAATTTGACATAAGGTGTTTAAGTTACAAACAAAAATCAAATTGTGTTTTATTAAGATATTATGCAAGCGTAACAACAAAATGAATTATTTCAACATGCATAAAATAGTTAAACATGTCAGAAACAAATAAGTATAAAATAACTGATACATATGAGTAAGTATTTTGTTTCCCTCTAGTCATATTTGTACTGTTTACTTATTTATGCCCGAATGTACTTTTATTACTTTACAGAAAATTTTTGTATTCATGCATACATTGTAAAGACATTTATGGTTATGTTTATAAACATATCACATATACAATATATCTTTTAATAAAGGCAGGCTTGATAATAAATTAATTAGAAGTTTTACAATTTTGATTTATGCATTGCGATAATTAATGTTTTATCTTTGTTCTTATGGTATTATATATATTGAACAAATTTATTTATTTATCATCAGTTGTTATTGTATATGGAATATGGCAATAATGTTGTTACTGTATAAGAAATATAGCAATACTATTTTATAATAAAAATAAAAGTTTCAATAAAAACTTACCTTTTGCGACTGATGAATCCTTTGCAGATTCTCCGTAACACGTTTAACCACACTGTAGTATTCTGGAAGGAATTCCTCGTTCTGTAAAATATAAAAATAAAAATATATTATTTTCCTAAATTGATACTTTAGCAGAATTTTAATTCCCAATTATTTAAGATACAAACCTTTGCTAACAATGTTTTGTAATTATGTTTCTTGTGCAAGTGTAACATACAATGGGAGCATCCAGCAATTTCACAGTTTTCACAATAATATCCTAAGGGTTCCGTACACTGATTTGAACAAGTATTTTCTACTGTGAAAGAACTATCATGTATGCCTTCTGATAGCATGATTTTTGAATGGCTCTGTAATGCCTTACCATGGATCTAGCGAAACATATAGTTTTATTAAAAGATTAAACAATTGTTAAACAATTGTTTACATTATGTTTTAAACATTTCCATATTATAATAATCTTCACAAGAAAGTATTTTTATTTATATTATGTACATATTAGAATAATAACAAAAATTATTAACATTATGTTTTGATAAAAGAAAGAAGCTAAGTATATAACAGTTATGAGAGAAATATACCTTCCCATAACAGATATAGCAATATAACGCAATACATTGTGGGCACTTTAGTACTGCTTGAAGTCCACATTCATGACATAGACCTAAAAATAAATAAAAATTGTCTTACTTTAATTCAAAAGCTTACTAAAAATACTTTATTTCCTGATCCATTACAAACCTTTCTCAGATTGCTCTTTCAATTTGGAAGGGATTGATTTAGAAAAAGAAATTTCAGAATCATCTGTATCAACTGGTCGATTATGCGATATGACCATTAGTCCAAGGGCATACATGTTTAAAGGTAAGGATATCTTTTTGTTATCTTCAGATTGTGAAATAACATTGCATAAAGGACAAGGTTTAGGAATAGATAATTTTGCACATCTATCGCATATTACATGCCCACAATCCAACAACAAAGGAACTAAGCCACGTAAAGGTACAAATTCTGAAACAAACAAAAAAAATAATATTTCTAAATATCTTTTTCAAGTACTATTTGTTTTATAAATAAATACATAAAGCTTTGTATAAAATAAATAATCATAATTTAAGTATACACGTTATTCTAACCTCTATAAATATACTTCTACATTTTTCATTTTTAGTAACAGAAACACGTTACAACTTGACAATGTTTTTTATATACATGTTGGAATACCTTCAATGTTAATTTACGTATATATATAGGAAAAACAAAAAAAAATTCTTATACAGAATAATAATTGAAACGATACTATTAAATGTGATAAATTAATATATCGTTCGTTAACATATAAGACGAATAAATAATTGAATCATGAAAAAGCCGGCATGTGATCAAATGTTTTTCGATTACCTCGTAAAAAAAACTGGTGTTTGCAATATGTACAAAATACGTTACGAAGTTTTGTTGTGGGAAATGTATAATTACGAGAACACTTGTTATCATCTCGTGTGTTGAACATTTTGTTCATCACCGACTGGTAAATTACGAATTTTAAACGCGCACTATTGCGATCAGTACTGTTTGAAGTTTACACGCCACGACACGACCACGCGGAAACTCAAGCATCCAATAGCAAACATTTGAATGGAACACCGCGTGCCGGTAGGGGACAGAGGATAGAGGTACGCATACACTTGAACTTTTAGGTGGCAAATTTAAATACTTGTTACGCTGTAAGTAAACTGAAACTGTGTAAAGTTCTATTTATAATAAAAATAATCTATAAAGAAAGTACGTATTTTCTTCATTATGCACTCACATTTATATGCGACTATATGATAACGTTAAATGTGTCTTAAAAAATTGCAAATTAAATTAAATAATATTTTGCTGTAAATTAAGAATCTTAATTTTATTCTACTATTTGGTGGCTAAAACTATTTTGTAATAATAACTTGTATTTTACAAATATATTTAAATTACATAAAAATTTAATGAGATCTTATACAAAGGAAATCTATTTCCTTAGACATAAATTTACGTATTTTATCTACTGATTTATTTTATAATTTGTATATTCTTATTTAAATAAATTAAACGTCGACTATGAAATATATAAAAATATATATAAACGTTAATATAAAACAAATATTAGCAATATTTAAATGATAAATGTAGAGTAATTTGCAGTCGAAGATATTTCAAAATCAAGGAGAGAAATTTCATGAGTTGGCGGCAATAAGTCAACTTTCAAATTGCTTTCCCGCTCTACAGTTTGTAAACTTCCATAGATCATGTGATCGGTATATGTAAAACAGGCACAATTATAGTCACGTGACTATGAACATTTCACGATCTTCAAGATAGATGCCGCAGCAATCTTAAGCGGGATATAATTTGGCAAAAACGTAAAAAGCTATAAGTATGGATAAGCGGTGAAGTTATATTGGATCCATTGGATTCTAGGCGCGGTCATAAGCAAGGGTCCGTTATGATCCCACCCAACTCGATCGTTACAGCAAACAGGAGTATCTTGAACCTCAATCGTCATGTTCTAGAACCATAACATAGCAAAATAATCTTCACTTGGAATGCTTCGTGACCGATGAATACAAATCATATTCAGAAAAACGAATACGTGATTCATCGAAACGATAGTTATACCCAATGGCGTAGCTAAATGTGGACCAGGATAGGCTTGGCACTTTTAAAATACCCTATTCTACCAGAAATTATTAAAATAAATATAAGAGCAACGATAGGAATAAATATTTAAAATGCAATATGCAATTAATTACACATAATAAATACAGTAATGTTTTTATTAGATGAAAATATGAATAAGCAAAATCCCGTTTTAGGTAAACATTCAAGTTACACCAATGGCTGTACCTTATGGCACGTTATACGTCATCAAAGTAAAAACGCTTAATATATGCACAGGAATGTGCAAGTACTATACAGATAGCATCGTTTACATTTTTTTGATAACTGCCTAGCAAATGGATTGTTTCTAACCATTCCCTTAAGAGCTCGTCATTGTTTGAAGAGTATAGATAGAAAAGTCGGTCTACAGTCCAGAGTCTATTTTCAGTGTTTATATAGCAGACATAATCCGTTTTACGCTTTCAAACTCTGTTCCTCAGATTTCTAGCTTGACTACGTTAAAGATCCCTACTAATAGATGAATAACAAAGATCATCGGCAACTTTTTAATTTATCAATAATATACCAAATTAAAATGGGAAAATTTAATTATTTTATAACTCCCACACCAGCTTTCATCAAATTTGATAACAAAATTTCAATCATGTAGTATTTTATTACAAATTCTATTATATTCTAACATTCTCACGATGAAACATGCCTATCATCGTTGAAAACAATCGTTCTTTTATTTCACGTGCTTTATTTCCTTGAAGTAGTACTAGGTATCGTCGACTGTATCACGAAGACCATTTGAAGAGTAGCTTTAAATAAAATTACCGGCGATCACAGCTGGCGATAATTTCAGTTATCATTTTTATGTAATCGGTAGAATCGCTTGCGGTTGCGGAATACTGTCCCAAGATATGACTTCTTGTCGTTCTGATTGCTTTTTGGTCTCAAAAGTCTGGTGATCTTATACAATTACAGTGAATGTAATCTCTTGATATTTTTATTCTAGATTAAATGAAAATTACTTTTTTACGGTCTCTATTTATTTCTCGCATTAGATAAGAACCAAAAGCACAACTTTCAAAATTTCCGTCGATGGTAATAGTACATTGTTTTTAGAAATCTAAAGATTCTAAAATTCCAGAAATTTCAAGTCATATAGAATCATATCAGAAATTTCTGAAATTATAAGAAAAATTTCAAAATGTTAATACCACAACATTCAACAAGTATTGATTCCCAAAGTCTATCTAGTTCTAAAATTTTAAAACTTCAAAATTAAAAATTCCAAAATCTAAAAATTTTGAGATTCCAAACTCCTGAAAGAACAAAGTTCTGAAATTCAAAATTTCTAAAGTTCTGACATTCTGAAATTCGTATATCTTAACTTATAGAGTCATTCTAAAGATCCAAAGCTCAAAAATTTCTAAATTTTCAGGTTTCAGAATTCTAAAGTCCTCTTGGATTTTAATGCCCAAATCCTAATGCCCAAAATTTCGAAATTGTATCTATTTTGTAATGTGCTTTCGACTATGTACGAAGATGATTAGTATTCGGCAATGTTATTTATATATTCTCATAAATAACGAAAGTATATGAGTCCTTATAAATCCGTTGTAAATTTTTGGTTAAAATTATAGATTGTAAGAATATTATTATTAGTTAAGATAAATGCCAGACACTATTTTTAATTTGTATTAACAATATTACTTATATTTTAGTAATTATATATGTTATACTGTTATTTTTTGTAAAATATTTCTCCAGACATTGCCATGACGCGACGTTAACGTACTATTTACATTGGTAAATGTATACGTGAGTAAATAGGAAATGTGACGCAATTTCTATCACAACCATATAACATTGTTACACATTAAAACTGAAAAATTTGAAAACACGCTCCCTGAAACTTTTATTAAGCTGAGTAAACCACAATATGAAAAGTTTAGAAAATTCAGTAAAGCTAGTTTGACCAAATAACTGTACTGTTTTTTACCAAACAAACATTATATTTTCTGTAAATTCACATGATTGTTTTACATAAAGCCAGAATAGTTTTCAGCAAAATAGTACCTAATCTCGTATTTCAGTCTCGCTAATGTTTGCTTTAGTATCATTTTAGAATTTCAGAGCTCTAATATCCTACAATTTTAAAGTATCAAAATCTCATAGTTCTGAATTTCAAAAATTTCAAAATGTAAAAATTTTAGTATCCCAAAGATGTAATTTTTTTAAAATCTAGTCCTGAAATCAGAAAATTCTACAGTTTTTAAATACAAAGTTCCGAAATTCGGAAATTCATCAATTTTTTAATTATGAAATCTCGAACTTTGAAAATTCTAAAGTGTAAAAGTTTCAAAATCTACACTATAAAATCAATTAAACATTTTTAGCAATCATATACGTCTAAATTACATTGCAGAACATTTTCAAAGTTATTGAATTAAGTAGTCTCAAATGTATAATTATTTTCATAGATACTACTATACAGTACACGTAATGATGCTTAAGATTTACTGCTGAACATCCTTAAATAACAAAAATTCAGTTTTGAAGTTAATCGGTAGTTACAATGTGATTATCTCTTAATACAAGGTACTTGGAAATTATTATTATGAATCGAGTTTTAGTAAACAATAAATTAATCCTTCTGTATCTTATCACAATATAAGCACATAAAATTATTCTTTAATATCATAGTCTTTTTGGGCTCACTGGTAGTACCTGATATACTTAACGATGAAGTTAATTTTGTACACTTAATGGGGAAGTGCATTAAGTATTACAAAGGTAATAACTCATGCAAACCATGATGATAAAAGAAATAGAGATCGTATGACCAAATTATGAAATAATATAGAAGAAATAAGTTTCAAACTCAGCTTGATATTAGGAACTCATCTTTTTATCTGTTTAGTAATAGAATTTTTGCTTTTATTTGAATATGAAAAAACCGAAAGTTACATTTTTTAATTAAAAGGATTAATCGTACTAAAATGGACATAATCGAATTTAAAATTATAGAGTTGTATAAAAGACATTTTTCTTACTATGCAAAAACGCTATTTCGAATTTTCTCTAAAAACGAACGAATTATAGAAGAATGTAATATGATTTATTTAAACATAAGTGAAGACGATTTTCTGTGTAGTTTCATAAATAAAGGATTATGAAACAGACAGTTGCAAATTCAATGATTGATAGGAAAGATAATTGTTAAAGTATTTTACTTAAACATCGATATTATATCAAGAAAAATATATTCTACAATCAGAATTATTGATCACGATAACCTTATTTGCTAAATTTACCCGTCTTAACTTTTCAACTTGACTGTTACGGTGTGACCACCTTAAAATTGCTTCATTTTTCTTATTAAAACGATATCTAACTTTTGGACTTGATTGCTGTGATACAACCACCTTAAAATTGCTTCATTTTTCTCATTAAGACGGTATCCTAACTTTTGAACTTGATTGCTGTGATACAGCCACCTTAAAATATCCCGTAATCCCTGTATTGTAAATAATATCGGCGATTGTATTCCCTGCTGGTGACCTACAGGTTGCAGAGTAAGCGAAGGTAAGACGAAAGAGGAAGCGAGATATCGGATTTAGGCCGTCTCTCGAAACAACAGTATGTACATATACATGTAGGTAACATAGACCGGAACGGTCTCTGGACTAGGCAAGCTGAGCGAAAGAGCTGTGGCAAGGTCTAGGCTGGCTGGTATTCAAGGTCGCGTGCACAGCGCAAAAGCCCCCCGGATCTATCCCCGCCCCAGATTTCTAGCGCCCTTTACCTCTCCGACCACTCACTCTGTCCTTCGTCCGTGCACATTTCACCGACTCCTCTCTTTCTCTCCCTCTCTCTGTCCTCGTCTCTCTCCTACTCGGTCAAATGAAACCTTCCCTCTCTTCTTACCGCGTAGCTCACTTCGCGTAGCTCTCCCTGTCGTTA